GAATGGAACTTCAGGGTGGACATAGGCTATACATTATTCCGGTAAACATTCATATAAATTAAATTATATCATCTAGGGTTAAGGCTTTTATGTCCAACAGATGGCGCTACGAGTACGACTCCCTAAGTTTGCTTTTCTGTGAGGCATTATGCTTTTCTGTAAAAATGAACTAAAGCGGATCATCGTCTATCTATTTATATAAATAAAAATGTAATGTTCGTTTGTTCCTACCGATTCCTTTGAAATTTTGACACAACTCTGCATTCGAATATGCACGTTTTTATATAATACACGTGTTGAAATCCCCCGGGAGATGGACGGGATTAAGGCTTACCGTAAAGAACTCTGCTTCTATTTATACTATTTTAGATGCGGATTTTTGCGTTTTTGATTGCGTTTTAATAGGGTACGTCAAGAGAATGTACACTAAGAAGAAATTTTTCGAGAAATTCCCCCCTACGGGGGAAGTGTTATAAATTTATAATAGATACATTTTGAGCCACAACAACGCGTGGCGGGGTCTGCTAGTTATATATATAGAAGAGGGCGTAGGGAACCGTTTCGTCCCAGTTTCGTTGATTGTTGTCTATCCGAAATGTTTATTGAATCGAGGGGACTCACCCGTAATTCATCTTAATGTGTTCTCGTTCCCCTTGCTGACGTTTTCCAACTGCAATCGAATGACAAGCTGTTTTGTTGTTTTTATGACCATAGAGGTGAGAGGTCGAATTCCACGTTTGACACAATCTCTCCTCCTTTTATTTTCTATACAAACCAAATTTTCGGTATGTTTTATTTGATAAAAATATTTCTATCGCTTTCCCTTAGACAAAAATTGCTATAAAAAGTAAAATCCGATTCATACAGAATTAAAATTCGTTGTCATTTATCCTCTGGTTATTATACTTCAGCAATAACATATAGGCTACATTTTACAAAAATAATTAAGTTTTTATTTACAGTAATGTTTACCTTTGCAAAAAGATAATTTTTTCCCCACTAGGTAAGGTTAAATGATCCGTTCTCTTAATTATAAAAAAATTGTAAATGCTAATACTGTAACTAGTAAAATCGTCATGAAGTCCGACCCTGTTATCTCCCCACTCCCTCGACCTTTAACCACCAAAACTGAATAGCATCAATCCCCTAATAAAGAAACCTCCCTGCAAAATTTCAGAAATTTTCGACTAAAAGAACAGGAGTTATTAAGCTTCAGAGAGTGAACATGATCCTGCCCCAAACAAACACACACATAGAGGTAATTTTTTGACTGATCGCCATACTTTCCCCTCTGTTATATATAACAGCCGGAAAAGTAAAAACATAAAGATAACAAGCGATTAGCATTTAACATATTCTTCTACGAAATTTACTTATTCTAACAGTTTCTACACAACAATCGCATATGCGTAGATCGTTTTACCTAACCTAACAGGGGATCATTTCGCCCGAAAATGTAAAATTTAGTAAATGTTCATCACATGTAGATTAGGCCTAGCTGCTTCACAAACAGGGCCGTGCCGTGCTATGATGCAGAGATGCGACCGCATCAGGCGGCATAAGCAGCATTTCAGAGACGGCATTTCGAAGACTTGCATCATACTGAGAAAAATCTACCGCACGACCCTGTTCACAAACACGATAAATTATAAATAGGTGTGTGTATAAATACAATATAAAGCAATTTGACATCCTTATGACTATCGAAATATTGTAACACAAGTTCTAGTGGATTTGTCTTACAAGTTAGATCAACAAGTACAAATATACTTTTTCCAAAGTATCTTTAGCAACGGCGCTAACACCACACTTTCAAATATTAAATTCTTAACGACAGTACAACAGATAATTAGTAACTTACTATACTAAAAGCATAAATTACAGTACCATTAATTAGAAAAACAGTGGAGTTATGGTGGCTATCATGTGGTCTTAACTATTTGCCTCGAACAAGCGTTTTTCCGGCAGGGATCATTCCTCTAATTATAAAAAGTAACAAGAACAGTAGTTAGCTTGCCATTATGATAAAGAGTTAACAAATCTTCAAATAAATAGTCATTGCAATGGTTTAAACGCTTCCTCTTTACAGGAAGTAACGGGCAAATAACTAACTATCCGGTTACAACTGTTTAGATGTAACATCTGGAGGATACGTGTATACAAATTCTTAAGACCAGGTGATAGCCACCTTCCAACACATAAATTATTAAAAATCGGAGATTCATTTCGGACGAAGATAGACATTATGTTGAACAGTAATTTAACACACAGATTTGTACTTAGTCGTCTACCTGAATATTACTACGTAAAAAAAACAAGCAGAACACTAAAAGTAGGAGCTACAGCAGCAGCCGTGCATTGTGTGGGTTTCCAGAAGAGGTTCGAACTTGAGTAAATCTCGAAATTCTTATGTGACGCCAGATGTAAACAACAAGACTCGGAACTGTTCGAGTATGTGTGAAACTATCTGTCAAGGTCTTAGCGGAAGACAAACTCTAACACGAGCGCTCATAAATAGGTAGATCATTGACTCGCGAGTCTATAAAATGTTGGCCGAGATAAACCTTTTCGAACAAAAAAAGGGGAATTTTTGATAGATGAAAGATGAAAATGATCGTTAAATTCTTAGACGGCAAGAATGGTATAAACAACGGCCTGAATTATCAGTGCGGATGTTATTGTTTTATAAACAATTACCGGGCAGAGTTAACAAAGAGGTATCAAATGGACACCTCGAATCGGACCTTTCTCGCGACCCGAAGATGTTTCGTCTTGCACTTGTAGACAAGGGAGTCTCTCCCTTGTCTCCAAGTGGGACCAATGGGAGAAAGAGAAAAAGGACGAGAAACCAATCAAAAGTACGGAAGACGAAAGGAAACGTATAAAACCTGGGACTTCAAGGTCATCCTGACGCGGCATTAACTGAACCCACCTAAAAGACGGCAACCTTATACAGTTGTCGAGGAGCGGGTTTTCAATTCCCCTATCTCCACCGGGTCGGCGACCTTACAATTGTAATCATACTGGTTGTAAGATCGCACTTAGATTTAGATCTCACTCGGTATAAATTCTCAAAAAGAAGATTATTAATTGAAAGGCATTTTTTAAGTATAATTTATACCAGCGCTGTCCAACTGGCGGCCCGCGGGCCGTATACGGCCCGCCAAATAATTTTTACGGCCCGCGAGTACATTTTACTATGAATAAATTTATGTTACTAAATTATTATTATTAATATTACAATTATTTTACTACCGTGTTTCCCCGAAAATAAGAGTGTCTTATATTAATTTTTGCTCTGAAAAATGCGCTAGATCTTATTTTCAGGGAATGTCTTATTTTTTCCAGGAAGAAGAATTCACATTTATTATTGAACAAAAAAATTCCCAAGTCGAACTTAGACGAGAGTGACGTATATCCGGTGTGTCGAACTGTCGTCTTTTTATAGCGTCAACACCGGACTCGCTGACCAATTAGTGCTTACTGAACCGTAGCACTATGCAAATGTCATGTGGTTTATCAACCTTCTTTGCCCCCGAAATGTTTGGTGAAGAAAATATGGCCCGCGGGCTATGATAAGTTGGACAGCGCTGATTTATACTATAATTTTATATTACTGGATATTAGTTAAAGAAAGAATCAATGAGGGGTAATAATGTAAAATGCCGACTTTTAGGGGCAATTAGTTAATTGAGCGTCAGGAAAAGCCTAGGGACTGATTGTATGTGGGTGGGGATGATGGAGGAAAGATGTCACGTCCTTACAAAATCGTTTATTTTTAACATAAAATAAACTTACACCACGAACAAAATAGGCTGCCTTGAGGATCAGGCGCTGGATACGATACTCGTCGATTGTGTAGGGTTGCTCCACGGTCGATGATGATGGTAAAGATGCAGCCTAGGGCGGAGACGACTTAGGCGAGATGGTCTTCTCCGCGAATCTTCGAAGGGCAGGTTAGTTCGGATGAGATCATTGGGATAAGTTGAAATAGTTAATAGTTCAGAGAGGATGCGACACTAGTTAACCGCCGCCAAATTTGGAGGAGAACCGACGTTTCGACCGTGAGATTCGGGGTTTTATATGATGTTTCCCTCGAATCTCGCCTTTTGATTGGTTCTGATTGGATTTATTCCCTTCCTCGTTTCCCGATTGGTCTCCCTTTTTGTTTCTAGGTAAAACCTGGACTTGTTCTGGTCACGAGAAAGGCCCGTTTTGTGGTACCTTTTTATCGACTCTGACTGGATTTTGTCGATAAATCCGTAAGTCGTGCGCTCATAATTCAAGCCGTTGTTTCTATTTTCTGTTAATTTTTGAAAATTAACGACTACCTGTGATATTTTCTTAACCGTTTAATATTTCCCCTTTTTCGACTTTTTAACCCAGAATCGACTGTTTATGAACGCTCGTGTTCCATCTTCTCCAGCCGACATTTCACCCGATCCGTTACATCAATCGTCTTTCGCGTTTGTTTTAACAACTACAGTTTTCTTCCCTACCTCTTACATATCTAACATGACTTTTTAACATGACTTTTGATTCGAATTGACAATAGAGTTAGCGTTTTTTAATTTTTTTAAATTAAATTTTTGTTTCGACCCCCTTTCGGGAACCTCACAATAATACCTGAAACGCGTATCTACTCCTTTAGTTAATAGAGTCAATTTTAATCATTTTCCTGGATGTTCTTGCATGGCAACTTCTTTAAAGCATTTTGTGTTTGATCTGAACAATCTTATATAGAATAATACGTTAACAAATTACCAATTTCTTGTTTACAAAAGTTTGCAATGGGAGTTGTAAGCGATGTATAATTCGGAATTCTTGCAGTTGAGGGGAAATTATACAATGATTTAATGGTGAAAGCCCCAATATCAATAAACAGCCTGTTGGAATTGGAATTCGGTGTCGTATTAAACGTCAGCTGGGCTCCAATTATCACTGGAAAGAAAAGGACCAATGGGGAAGTGTGGATGAGGAACTGAAACCAATCGGGATGTCTGATCGAGGGACCAATCTTTTAAAAGGCTGGTGTGAAGGACACGAGGTTCCTTTTTCGCTCGTGCGCTCTCTCTGAATCATTTCCTACTTCCGTCCGACAACAGTGCTCCCCGAAAGCTGTGATTCTAGATCCGCCAGACTCGGATTAACGTCGCATCGCTTGGTCTATCTTACACGTGACACCAGAGGTGCAGCGAAGTGCGGATAACCACGCTCTAATCGAAGAGATCAATCATTGCTTACCTTTGTGCATCGTGAACCCCGAGGAGAATTTGGGAAATCTTGTAAGTAAAATTCCACTCTAATAAACGGTTTTTATACGCAACTAAGCCTGCCCGAATACCACAGATATAGATTTTAGTAGTGTCTTGCCTCTGTACATCATTATTTTCTTGTTAACAATAGAGTCATGCCAGTCATGTATCTGTGTTTAGGGAAACATTTTTGAATTGAAATAACGTGATACCGGAAGTTCGTATATAGTTAATTGGGGCTCCTGCCGCTGCCTTCCATATCTGGTCTAGACTTTCATTTAACACCGTTCTCGAGATTCAGGAAGGACAGACACACAGACGACATGGGAATTTATAGGTATACACAGAGCCGTAACTAGCCATTCCTGTGCCCTGTGCAAGAATTTGCATTTAGGCCCCTTAATTTATTTGGTTTGGGAAAATAATAAAACAAATATATTACAATAGATTTTTAATAAGATTTATTTTAATTGAACTTTTCTGGCTTTCGTTTCAGCAAATTCATTAATTACATATTAATATTTTTAACGATATTGTATTCTATTGAAATAATAGAAATATTGGATAATCGTTCTTGTCTGATAGTTGATCTTAAATAATTTTTTATTAAGTTTAACTTGCTAAAACTTCTCTCGCACGAAGCGATAGAAACGGGAAGAGTTAGAAATATTCGAAGAGCGACATTGATATTTGGGTAAGACTCAATTAAACCAAAATCATAAAGAGCCTATAGAATATTAAGCAGAGATGCAGTTTTTATATTTTGTATAAGAGTCGTTACTTCAAACTTAAAACTTTCAATTTCACTTGTGAATTCGTACTTTTTTAAATCTTTGCTATATTTAATAACGAGATCTGCAGCCGAATTTTTTAAATCAGCAAACTCATGCATTACAGTCAACCCCCCCTATAACACTGTTGATTATTCTGTTTTATATGAATTCCATGTTGTACGAGTCACTTAGATTTTACAAATATGTGTGTAGGGCTGTGAACAGCTCATGTATTTGTAAAATCTAAGTGACTCGTACAACATGGAATTCATATAAAACGGAATAATCAACAGTGTTATAGGAGGGTTGATTGTATAAAGACCAGCCACAGCGAAAGCAAAAATTGTATTTTAAATAATTTTTCGGGTGTCAAGTTACTTCCTTCATCTGGTGTTTTATCTATTTCCATTATCTTAACTCTTTTTTTTTCGTTTATTAAGAAATTCCTTTTCTACACTTTTTGGTTTGTTTTAAGAATATGATCAATAATAGCAACTATTAATATTGTTGGCCATAAAGCTATGTACTTCCATGTATCTTTATATATTTATTGGTTTTTTTGTGTTTTTAAGGAACTTTTTAAATATAGGCAGTTGTGTAGCCTAAAAAGGAAGGTCCAGCTGTCTTTACTTTGTTCTAGAACACTCTGTAAAAATGGTAATCGTCTGAAATATATATTTTTAGAACGACTTTGTCTTTTAATTTGTAAAAAGTAATTTATTCATCTGACGGAAATTCAGATGTAACACTTGTTAACGTAATGCTTCTCAAAACTCGTGCGTTCACGAACCAGAACCAGTTCTATTTCGAACACCTCAGTCATCTCTGTGAGGTTCCGGAAATGTCCCGAAACCACACTAAATTCGTTAATATTTTAAAATATATTTCTTTCCACAAAAGGTAAAATTAAATGATGATAATGAGAGAAAAGACAGAAATAAGACAAAAGAAAACTAGACAATGTTGTAAGTTCTAAGATCAACTATCTCAGGTTAGGATCGAATTAAATGTTGATTTTGACTCATCCCGCGATCTAGATTGAGATCTCTCATTACACTTAGTAACGAGTGATCACATGTTAGACTTGTGTTATGTTCTACTTATCTTAGAAAGCGAGGACGAGAAAGGCGAGACCAATCGGAATTGGCGATCGAGGACAGAAATTAATTTAAAGGATGCGACGGCCTTTTCTCCCGAAAATTCCAAGTGTAGGACCAAAGTTGTGTGTGTCTCGTGCCTATCTTCGTCTACATCTCCCTTCCTTGGATCGAAAAATTCCATCACCGGAAGTCGTCCCGAGACGTTGAAGGAACTGTCATTTGCCAACCAGGGGTGTTGTATACAAATGTTGTGATGATGGTGGTGGTGTAGAATGTTTTCGTATAGACAGTCAAAAAGAACACAGTACACGCTTCTTTCTAACAATAACAACACAAAAAATAAAAACACTTTAATTTCTCCAAATCAGCGAGTGACTCTCTGGCACTCCACCATTTTTTGATAGTTACAATACTGGACCAGCCACACAGCTACTCACTCTGTTAGCTCCCTGGTCAGTACACACACTCTCTCTCCCTCTACACACCCTCAACTAGGCGGGACAATCTCCCCCACACTCCCGGGGACACCGTCATCTCACCCACCCGACATGTGTGACCAAGCTGTGGACTGTCCATCACTACCTGCCGACATCCACACACCTGACACATGTCTCACACATGTTACACTGAACTTAACAAGGGGCACTCCTTCACTTGGACCATCTTGGAAAGGAAAGGAAGGCCCAGAAACCGCCGCAGACTTAGAACTAAGATGGAGGAAATCTTATAAGCTCTTTTCGTGTCAAATAAACGGTTTCTTGTAATCGTAGAGTCTGTCTCAGTACCGATGGCACCCACATACCACCCTCATGACCCGTCGTCTGTTTTGATCCTTTTTTTTGGCAACCTCACATTCCTATGATATCATATATCTTCGTTTGAACTCCGATACAGGTGATTGCTTTCTGTCTCAGCATGCATCTTTCCACACTTCTTTGTGTATTCTGTAGTGTCTGTATTGTCTTGCTTATTGGAGTCCACGTTTCTGATCCATAGGCCAGTGCTAGATCACATTGGTCGAATACTTTTCTTTTCAAATGCAGTGGCAGTCTGATTTTTTAGAATTATGCTATTAATTCAATTCTAATTCTTCTGTTTATTTCATTTGTGATATTGTTACTCTTTAACACAAATTTAATTATGGAAATGTATATAATTCTCATCACTCCTTCTCTTCCTGACTCAGAGAGTTCTTGGGAATCCTGAAGGCATCCCCTATTAATAGGCTAAGTTTTTTTTACTGTCTTTTCTTACTCTTATGAAAACTCTCAAAAATATTTCGAGATAAACACGCAAATTGTAAGCAAAAAACCAACCTGTCTAATCAATGTAATTGCCACTTAAAACTGGTTAAATTAGAATTAAAACACACTAAACCTATAAACCAGCAAACTTTTATAACAAATGCAAACGTTTTTGTCCGTGTTGAACGGGCATCATCAGGCAAACTAATCACCAAATGCTGAAAGAAACAGGGGACTGCCGAACACGTGTGCAGAAGGGAGGTAACGTAAGACGAGAGAAACGGGGGAGGCGAAGGATAGTAAAATTTACAGTTCGAAGAACGACTTCCACGCTGTGGGGAAGGAGTCAACATCGCGAAAATTAATAAAGGTTTTTTTGCGGGTGGCATATATATTTCAACCTGCTCAAGATGTTTGAGAAAGGGTTGCCTGGAAGAGTTATGTAAGAGGAGTGCTTTGCGGAATTCCACATCGATGTGGGAGGAATAGATAGCCAACACGGCGTTGGCTAATCCTTTTATGATGGATATCTGATGTTCCTTGAGGCGGGTGTTTAAAGGGCGTGTTGTAGCACCTATATATTCTAAGTGGTGGCTGGATCTGTGATCGATGACGGGGATAATGTAAGTGCCTGGTTGACGGTGCATGTCTGGACTAATGTTCCCTCTAAGCTGCGCGGCTGCGCACTGCTCAAATTGTTGCCGCGCACGAGAATTTATGTGCCGCCAGGCGAGCACGCACACCGATTTACTTATTTCTCACTCTGTCTGCAACATGATTATTGCTTCGTATATTTCGATTAAATACATTAAATCATTGACAAAAGATAATATTTCGTATAAAAGTAAGTTATGTTTTAAAATGAATTTTAATCTCTACTTTATAATTCGTTATTTTAATTTTTTATAGGAAAAAATAAGATTTTATATGTATATGCTCAAAAAATTTTTTTGCTCAGAATCTGTTCAGCAAAATTTTTTTTTTGCTCAGAGAAGTATATGTTCCTCTCATGTACAAAAAAAAATAGAGGGAACATTGATCAGGACGGTCTTTAGCATTGAGGAGGTGGGAGAAAATTGAGGGACTTCTAAATTGGAATGCTAAACGAAAGTTATTTCTCTTGGATATTTCCTTGTAAAGGGTGGCTAGCTTCTTGTCGTAAATGACGGTCTTAAAATCTGTGTCCTGTGTGCAATTTATCCGCGAGGCGGGAGTGGCGGAGGAAAGACGACGTATAAGTCCTTTAATAGTAGGACTATGTGGGGAGTAGCCGTGCTGAGTTATGTATCGAGTGATCAAATGAAGCTCTTTATCTCTATCGTGTGTCCGATTAATGGGTGAAGGCCCTTCGAACCAAGACTCTGAATCCGGCCATCTTGAATGTGAACAGAATCGTGGGAAGAGGCGGGGATGACCAACCATACCGCATTCTCCTATATCAGGGGTGGCGAACCTATGGCACGCGTGCCCAAAGTGGCACGTAAGGAGAAATCATCTGGCACGTAATGTATCATACAATTTCTGTCTTTTTCAATCATCTTTTCCGTTGATCACTCGATCACCCCTTTTTCAATCAGCTTTTTTACATTTATTCTAATTAAAGCGTATTCGTTTAATTTTTTTAAATATCGTTATTCGAAGTCTGAAACTTTGGCACGCATAAACATCTTTAAAGCTAAGTATGCTTACAATATGGCACGCGAACACAAAAAGGTTCACGTATATGGTATTTGCCGCTCGGGAGTCCGGTAACCCTGTATTATCGACAAACATCTGACCCCAAGTGAGCATTAATTCTAAATTATGCCGCTGCGCAAACAGCGCCAATAGCCGGAAGCTCGATTTGTGGTATTTTCCGGTCATAATTACAAATTACGAATGCTTTATTCGTAATTATTATTAGTTAAAATGAA